CTACAAGGTCATACTTTATGGTAGACAAGGAATCAATGAGGCTACCTATCTCAGCTTTATCAGATTCTAGGAATTTTTGTCCAACGGCACTCAAGAAATCTTTTGCATTTCCATTATCCTTAATTGCACCTTTTATGTGATCAAAAATGGATCTCTTCATGATCATAAGACTCAATTTGTTAGCATTCATCCATTTTTCATACTTAGCCTTTTCATCAGCAGTGCTAGTAGTTGTAGGTTCAGCAGGTTTCTGTTCAGTCAATGCAAAGTCCAGGTCCGTCAGACCTAACACTATTTCAACATCCTGTTTCCATTTCTTGTAATTGCTACTAGTCAAAGTTTCGATGGAATTCAACTAAGTAGTCATGTTGCTAACAGCTGTATAAGCAAACAACACAAAAATTAGATAAAATTATCGGCTAGAATATATAGACCAAAAGAGTCAAAGACATCCATCACACCCCTCCTTTGGGTAGAAGATGCAACTGTCTCCCCTTTTAAAAATCAAGGAGTCCAAGGAATTCATTGCATCCTCACCTTTAGGCAAGAGATGCAAAACCTCCCCCTGTTATCCAAGAGTGCAAGGCATAAATTGTATCCTTCCTTTAGGTAAGAGACACAAAACCTCCTCTTACATCAAATTATCCTTATTTATTGTATATATACATGAGAATCCAAGATATGAAGCTTCATCCTTTGGGTTGAAATATAATATCTTATCTCATAAATTAATTTAGCATCACTAGTATTAAAAGGTAAACCTCCAACACTAGCATACAGTCACAAAGAACAATTTAGACATGGTATATTGAGAATATTTCAATGACTCAAATAAACAGACCACTTTGATGGAAACTATTCATCAATCATAAATCTCAATCCATGTATAATATTTTTCACATGTATAAAATTTTAAGGATTTTCAATGATTCCAAATAAATAGACCACTTTGATGGAAACTATTCATTAATCATCAATTCTTATTTAAATAATATCATATACATGTGGGATAAATTTAGCCCATATATTTAAATCTTTTACTTATTTATTCCATTCTCTAACTAATATCAAAAATAAAAAAGTCCCAACAACAATTTATTGTATCAATTCATATACAATATACCAACAAACAAGTCATAGACATACGAGAATCACTATACACAATCAAGTATAACGTTAAATAAGGAATATGATAACAGACAAAAGTCGTAATATCACGGTAAGTTCAAACAGTCTGTTTCAACTAAGTATTAAATATTCTTTCACTAAATATTCTTTCACTCCACAAAATAAATACTCTGTATAATTTAGTATGTCGGCAAAAGGATATTCTATAGTGGCTCTGATACCAACTGTAAGATTATTAATCCACACTCATAGAAGAAATTAAAACACAAGCATAAACATAATCTTGGGTTAGAGTCCAAGGAAGCGTACCGTTAAACTCCATGTATTCAACAACGACATCAAATGACGATTAAGCCTGAGACCAACTTACACAATCCACTAGCTACACGCTCTCACATTCCGGAGAACTTGACTGATGGGATGTTTACTGTTACCACGTATTCAAGAGGCAGAATACGCTAGAATTTTTTAATAGCTAGGGAAAGAGGGGTTGGCCTCTATTTATAAAGAGTGTCTAGCTATCACAGACCAATAGTTATTGGGCCTCACTTATACACACACACAATATTTAATATTAGGCCTTTTATTTATCCACCACTTAGGCCATGTCACTATCCTTTCAGGCTATAACCAATTAACGTAAGTCCAAATTCCAACACCTCGCGCATGCCTTGCACCCACCACATTAGGAAAAAAAAATGCTAATCGAGCTCATTTACTCAGATCGGTTACATGTAATTTTTTCTTGCTCAATTAAAATAATTGAGTTGAACATAGAGATTAAGCAAAGCTGAACTCGTGACATTTTAGTATCTCTTATACCTATCAGTAGCGGAGCAAAAATTTTCACTAAGGGAGTTATCATATAAAGAATTAAACTCACGAAGAAGTCAAAATAAGTCAATATATAGTATATATACGTAAAATAAAATTTTTTACCTAACTACATAATGTAATTTTTCGGTAAAGAGGTATTAATTGATACCCCTTAAATACATATGGCTCCATCGCTACTTATAACGTATTATTATATTTTAGTAATCATTGGGAAGGGCAATATGATGCCTTCAGAAGCCAAAAAAAAAAGTGTTTATATTATGTCTTGTTTATCGAGCTATATAAATTCAGTAACATGCTTAACGTCTTAGTTTAGAAGATCAGTGGCGGATCCAGAATTTTCATCAAGGAGTGTCAAAATATAATTAATTAAATAAATCGGAAAGTCAAGGAGAGTCAATGTATAATAAATATACATAAAATAAAAAAAATTATCTAGCAAATAGTGTAATTTTCCTGCAAAGGGGTGTTGCTTGACACCCCTGGCTTCAATATGGCTCCGTCACCGTAGAAGACCCTTCTTTTTGGTTTCCTGAGATATTCATTTTACGATTTCGACTAATCTGAATATATATCACATAAGGTCGATTAAAGAGGGACATATTTTCTGCTAGGAAGTTTTTTATTTCTTGAGCTCAAATTCGAGACCTCTAATTAAATTTGGATGAATCTTATTAATCCTGTTATAATTCTTAATACAAAAAGGATTAACAAATACTACTACCAATATTATATTTGTATTCATCTTGCTTCTATTTCGTCCTCATCCTATCCGTAGAAATTGGGAATTAAATTAAGAAAGAGAAAACAATAAACCGGAAAAAAATAGGAATGAAAATGAAGAAATTTAACATAGACTCGAAAAATAATCTTCTCCAACCCTCTCTTCCGACTGTTTGGTACGAAAGAAAATATTTTTAGAAAATGCTTTTTAAAAATGACTTACTTTCTAAAATCTATTAGTGTTGTTATATAGATTGAATAATAAAAATTGATAACGGTATTTTAATATTAATTAGAACAGTAAAGAGTTATAAAATAACACTAGAAACTGGTATAGTTGTAAATTAAAATGATTTTTATATACGATCGAAATCAGGTACGCCCGATTCCGTGGGCTCGAGGGTCACTTTGAGAACAAGTTCGAAATGGATCAGGCTCGAGCCCGATGGCAGAGTACAAGACGCGAAGATCGAAGTGCTCGATGAACACCGAGGTCAAGTATGACCAACCTCGAGATAATACCATTATGGTTTCATAACAGAAAGAGCGAGATCCCCGCAATGGCCCTAAGATCACGGTGTAAATTCCGGAACGAATTTGTACAAGGCGGTTAAATAGCTGTATAATAAGATTCCCTACTACAATTAGAAGTGTACCTTATTTAGGATTCCCCTACTATATAAAGGAAACCTCAATCATTTGTAACGCATCAATCATTGAGAAGAAAATATACATATTTCACTTTCTTGCTTATTGTTCATCTGATTTGCCTTATTATTTTATTGTTCTTATCCACATACCTCGAGGTTGCCATTGTTCGAGGTCGAGGTCTGCTTATACGCTGGTTTGACTTACCTTACTCTTTAATTTATATATTAGATTTCTTGTTTATCAATTAGTATTGGATTAAATTATATATCTTTAAAACCACAATATAAATTTAATTGTTACTCGGATTTTAGGGTAAACAATTTTCATCCCCAGTATAAAGTAATAGTGTTTCAACGAAGAACTTCACTATCATATAGTTAACTCCACTCGAATTCCCTCTTAGTTATAGCATCTGTTACATTTGAGTATGATATGTCAAGCAATATGGAATCTGAATCATAAATCAAGTAACACATCTTATTCTATCGTTATAGGTAGGGGTGTTCGTCGGTCGGTACGGTATTTAGATATTTCGGTTCGGTATTTTTGTTATTCGGTTTCGTAAAATGCTATACCAATGCCGTACCTAATTAAATTCGACATGATTCGGGTTTTCCTCCTTTCGGTTTTGGTTTATTCGGTTCGGTAACTTCGATTTATTCGCTTTGAATACTAACTAGCGCATAGAGTCATAAACGGTAATATTCTTAATTGAAGTACTCAAAAGCACAAAGCTAAAAATGTTTGTTGACAAAAGTTGTCCAAAACCAGCATATACCAACCTAGAGAGAGAAAACTTAGAGAAATATCTTGTTACTTGCTTAGAGTTAATTGATGAACTTAGAGAATAAAGGAAAGTAAAATTTTAGATTTGTTATATTTATATTATAATTAATAAATGTGTATTGTATAATATAATATATATTTCGGTACGGTATCTATATTTCGGTATTTTATTTTAAAATACCAAATACCATACCTTATACCAATTTTTTTTTTTAAAACTTAACCCAAATACCATACCGAATACCAAAATATCGAATACCAAAATTTTCGATTTTGGTGTGGTAATTCGGTATTTATCAAATTATGCACAACCCTAGTTACAGGCACCGAAAAATATATATTCAGTTTGAATTGTTAAAATAATTCGATATTAAAGTTAGTTAAAAAGAATTCTTAAAAGCAAGACCAGACTCCGACGGTTCCGGCGATCGAAAGTTAACAAATTTCTCGTAGTAAGTTAATCATACTAGAATTCTAGAATAATATATGAATCTAGAATTAAATTTGAGATGAGTTTATTCTACGTATGGTTGGGATAAAATGACGGTATAACTAATCTCAGGACTAGTTATCCCGGAATAATATAATAGTGTTATTTTTATCCGTATGAAAAAGTAGGATAATGATCCCAAGATAACTAATTTCGGAATAATTAATCCTGAAATAACTAACTTATTTTTCCAACCAAACAAACGCTTAGATCTTTGCTTGTTTCGTGGTATGGACCAAACCAAAGGTTCCGCTGCTATCGACATGTGTCTGTGTAAGCGAGAGAAAAAAGGAAACCATGAAGAATAAGATTTAAAATCGGAGGAAACGTAACAAAAATAACTATCAGAATACAAGTATATATAATGCATCCCTTTAAGATTGTAACCTACAGAAAGAAATAACGAAAGTTCAAACAAAAAAAAAAAGATAAAAAATTTAAAAAAAGGAAAGAAAATGGGAAAATCAGTTGTTATTTTCATTTGCTTGTTCTTCTTGCTAGGGCTTACTCAAGCTTCTGATGAAAAACCTGAATTCTTTGTAGAAGGAAGGGTTTATTGTGATCCTTGTCGTTCACTAATCAAACACAACCTTACTAAGCCCATAGAAGGTATTATTTAATTTTTTTTTCTTTTGCTCCATTTTTTGCATTTTATATTTTTTCCAATTATTCAGATTCAACAAACAAAAAAGAAAAACTTTATACATAATAAATAAATAAATAAAAACATGTCCTATTGTTTGTTTATCATGGAATTAGTTTCTATATTCAGTTATGTTATGTTTCAGTATTTTTATTGTTTCAATTGGCGTAGTGTTCATCAAATCAAATGAGACATACAATGAGAGATAAAGAGAAATTTTACACAAATAGTCTAATGATTGAAGCTATTAAATATCTTTCCTTTTAGATGTGCGAAAATTTTAAAAGACGATATATGGATCTAGCGAAATATTTTTGAGAATGTTACGTAAATGTCTAAACTAAGCTCAAACTTACCGACCTCTAGCTATTAATCACTGACTAGTAAAATTGGCCAAACGCATACAAAATTTAAAAATTAAGATAAATAATGATTCTTTCTCTCCAAGAATAACACGTAAAGATCTCCTTACATGTTTTTAAGTGTGATCAGCAGTATTAGATGCAAGATGGAGAGGAAATTTCATGGATGATATAGGTGATGAAACACAAAGAAAATAAATATACAAAATTCCAAAAACTAAGTAAAAAAGGACCTTTTTCAATGGTTGTTCTAGATAAGTCAATATACAAAATTTGAGAAAGATTGGAGGTGATTTGGACTGATTTGGTATCAAAATTCATAGTTAAAATCGAGCTTAAAAAATTATTCTGCGCCACATGTATCAAACATGTATCTCACACACAAGTATACATGTATATACATGTGACAAACATTTGATACATATATGATACACAAACGATACACAGTGTGATACATACATTTTTTTTTCATGTACATCTTCTACTTCGAGTTTTCTATTCAAACCACCTCAAAACTTTACCAAATCATCCCAAAATTGAGATTCAAACTCCTTAAGATGTACTCAATTCATTCCAACGACATCCACTAAAAGAAAGTAAAAATTTGACATTTTTTGCTAGAAACAGCTAATTGGCAATATTGGTAGCATTTGGCTAATATTGATAATATTTTATGAATTAACTAATTTTTGTATTAATTTACTTATGGACTGACATAATTTATCTTCAGTGCGTAATTTTCCATATGTATTCATTGTTCCACTAGTCGATAAGTATTGGATATGATTTTGTAGAACCTATTACAAAAGTTAGTCTATTCCTTAGACAATTTCAACTTATACACCTTTTAGTCCTTCATGCATCAACATGTACAACACGTACTTATTGATGCTATTGTTGATAGTTTTCGTTGACGTGAGTTATTAAAACTCACACTATGACTTAAATTTGGTTCATTTTTTTCTTTTAAATATGTTGACACCGCTTACAAAAAAATTGCAGGTGCCTCTATATTTATAAAATGTAAGAACCCCGAAACTAAACATATCACATTCATGACAATGGATAAGACGAACGCCAACGGAATTTATCGGGTGCATGTAGAAGGAGATTACAAGAATGATATTTGCAAGATCGAATTGCAGTTTGGTGATAATGAAGATTGCAAAGAGAATCCATGTGAAGAAAATTACAATCAAACATTTAGGATTTCTCTCACTCACAACAATAATACTAATGGAAATGTACGTAAAGTCAATGATTTCTTTTACTACCCTAAAAGAGCAGCACTTAAAGAGTGTATACGAGAATTCAAGAATATGAAACATATGCCTCAAGTTCAAGATATCGAGTGTGCATTATTCACTGACATGTAATTTTTGGACTAGTTGTTGAATGAAGACAAAATAAGTCATAAAAAGAGGAAAAACTTATTTTGGGGGATAGGGTCTATTAAGCTCTTAAATATGCTTCTGAGAAATTTTTGTATGTAATGTGCTTTCTCATAAAGAAAATAAATGAATAAATAAAGCACCTCATTTTGGTTAACTTTTTTTTTGGTACTAAAAATAGATATTATATATTAATTAAACATGCGTACAGAGATATTGGTGCCCAGGTTGCACTATATTACAAACTAAGTCATTAGTAGCAGTAGTTACCATAGTACAAACTAAGTAATTGGTAGTAATAGTTACCATATTACAAACTAAGTTATCACTACTAGTATCTATATTATTTGTAGCATCCCTAGCAGATCTATTACTAGAACAGCAGAAGCAACTTGGACTGGTGTTGTAAATGTTCCTTCCATGCACTGTAAGCTCTTCATCTGGCAATTCACCTGCAGTTAGTGGTAGTGAAGGGGTAGCTGACAGTCCTTGCTTATCGTCTTGCCAAATTTTTGTAGCAAAAAGTGGTGCCTGGTCCAAAACATGCATTGTATAGGTTCCTTCCAAAAAATTTCCCGATTTTTCTAGTTGATCTGCTAATCTATTTTGTTCTCTGTATGCATGACTAACTATTGGATCATGGAGCATCCACAACAGGTGTCTGCAATCAGTTAATAGATTAGCAAAGTTTAAATTGTCAACGTGCAGTAGTGTAATTACCTATTTGGCATCAATTTCCACGTGGATTAGCATTAGATTATGAAGTTTAGCCAAAGTAAGCCCCTATAATAATGCATATATTTCTGTCGTAATAATTGATTGATAGGGTATGTTTCCTGAAAATCCTATAATCCAGTCCCTATTGTGGTTACTAATTATTCCTCCAATGCCATTTTTATATCGAGTAGACGAGTGTGCTCCATCCGTATTTAGTTTATATATGTTAGGTTTTGGTGGTATCCATTTTAGAGGAACCCTGATATGGCGTTGTATTTGATGACTTGAAACTGCTAGATAGCAGAATTTCAGTAGCTTGTTGTGTTGTAAAATTGATGCTAACAGGTTTATGTAATCGCTCATAAATATTTTTGTTTCTAGTGGTCCAAATATTTCATAAGCTTAATGATATATAAGTATGTGGATGTACATAGTGTGGGAATTTTTGTTATTTGTAGTTAATTAATGGAGGAAGCCATTCTTGCGGTGTATTAAAGTTATGTAAAGTATTTATATGCCGTCCTATTCCCAGGTTGTTCCACTATGTTTGAGCATTTTCACAAGTTAAAAAAATATGATTTGCCGTTTCATCAGCTTTACGATAGTAAGGAGATTCCGCATTTGTGATAATGTTAAGATGTTACAGAAATTGAAATGTTGGCAGTCTATTATGGTTAAGTAACCAAATAAAGTACTTAATTTTTGGATGTATAGGAAGATTCCATATCCATCTGAACGTGGACACTATGTTGTGGTCGTCATTGGAATTATTTTCCAAGGCTTTGTACATTGAGTTGAATGTAAATCTACCATTAGTATTTAACCCCAGTAAATGCTATCACCTTTTTTATTATAAGGCGAAATGTAAAGAGTTCTTATAATATTTTTTATACCATCTGTAAGTTCAAAAGGTAAAAGATCCCATTTCCAACCATTAGCATCATATATGCAGTTAATTTTTATTGATTGATGTTCCAAAGGTATTGGGCCACTTATTAGTGAACGAATAGTTATCCCGTTTTTTACCCAGTAGTCATTTCAAAAATTAAAATTTGCACATATTCCTATTTGCCATTGTAAACCTAGTTGGAAGTGTTCCCAACCCTTAAGTATATTACGCCAAGTTGTGAAATAATAAGTAGGTTATGAAATATGTAGGAATTTATTAATTAATATCTTATCATAAAAATGTTGGGGAGAATGAAATACTCTCCATGCTAGGCTTGCCAGTAATACATTGTTCTTTTGGCGCAGGCATTGGATCCTAGACCTCCTATTTCTTTAGGTGTAGTAATTTTCTTCCATTTTACGAGATGCAACTTCTTTTTTGTTGTGGTTATTCCCCATAGAAAATTGCATTGGTACTGCTCCATTTTATTAAGAATGGTTGTGAGCACGTGATTTTTGCCCTAAATATGATTATTCCCAAAATCCCAAACAAAATGATTTTCCTTTATTTTTTACAATTTTCGTGCATTTTGGTGTCATTTTCTGATAATTATTGCATTCTATTTGCGCATGTTAATTCTATAAAGTACAAAATATGCATTTTTGCGTTTAGGTTTTAGTATCAATTAAGGGTTAATTGTTTTAAGAAAAACAAAACATGAAAATCACAAAAATTAGTTCACTTTTGCATTTTAATGATTTTATTGTGAATTTGT